CACCCACTGCCCTGGAGTCCATTCTGACCCACAGCGCCCCTAGAGGACAGAGTGGAACTGCCCCACAGGGTCTTCAAGGCTGTCAGTCTTCACAGAAGCCCTCTCAGGTCCCAGCTCCCCACATCATTCCTGCATTCATCCCTGGTGACCCCACCATCACACTGTTCTCCCCCTGGTTGCAGCACAATGTTTTGCTTTTATATGACCTTTCTCACCATAGTCTTGTAACTCCCACCAAAAGATGGGGTGGGGTATGCAAATAAGGTTCTTGTGGCCCACCAAGGGGACTGGACCACTTGCTGACAATGCAAATTAGGTGTATGGAACCCTAACAGGGGAATTGGTCAGTTTTGTCATCCGATTAGGCTTAAAGTGAGCCATCCTAGAGGTGAAAGGGGGGATCTCACTGCCACCAAGAAGAAATAGGAGCAGAGTGTGTCTTTTGGATCTGGGGTACCTGTGCCGAGAACCTCCTAGACCGAGGAGGCAGAGAGCTGCAACACCAGAGAAGGCATGAGATGGCCTTCGTGAGATAGCAAGAAATGTTAGCAGACAGATGGCAGCAACAGAACCGGGAGACCAGCGCAAGACAGCATGGTGGGCTTCCTGGCCCACGGGGCAAGGCAGTTACAGTGGGAAAGCTAACCCCTGGAGTGAGAGAGCTGAGCGCCTTTGGGCAGGAGGCTTCCTGGCAGACTGAGGTGCCTCCAGACACCTGTCAACAGAGCAAGGTTCACTGACCCACAGAGCGAGAGAGCTGAGCACCTTTGGGCAGCAGGCTTCCTAGTAGACTGGGTGTCCCTGGCCACTTACTGGTGGAGTAAAGAGCTTTGTAACACTTGCCTGAGCAGGGTGGAGGCTGGGCTGGCCCAAGAGGCCTGAGGAGCCAAGGGCCAGGTAGAGGTCTCTCCATGGGCATGGCTGAGAAGAGGCTGTCCAGACCAAAGAGCCATGTTCCTGATCCTGAATTGTAACCTGTCACTTTGCCCATCACCTCTAACTCAATACAGTCTGTGAGTTCTGTGTGGCCACCACAATGAATTATCAAACCCAGCAAAGAAATAGGAAGTGCCACGGAAGGGACAGTTGGTGCCAGGATTGGCAAAAAGGTTGGAGAGAGGACATATGTCTGATCTGCCCTCCGCAGGAATCAGCCTTGGGCTGTAGATCTTGATTCTTTGGCCCTTTGTGACATTGGAGAAGGTTAGAGGCCCTTGCCATGCTGTTTTACTCTGATCTTCACACACATAACTCCCCACAGGAGGGTCCGCCTGGCCTGTCTCCACACAATCAGATGCCCTGTAGCGTCTCTCCCGATGGGTAGCCTCAAATAAACCAGTGACCGCCCCCTTCAGCTCACCCCTGCTTCCTAGACTTACTGGTGGCCCCTCACCAATCTCCCTGGTCCCTCCTCTGTTCACACCCCCAGTCGTCCTTGAGTCTGGCTGACTCAACCCCCCAACACATCTCTTGATGCTTCACCATCCTCCCAGGCTCCCCTGGAGGCCGGGAGAGTCCCAGAGGGCTGCAGGGTGACACCTGCCACTCCAGCTGGCACTGAAAGCCCTGCTGACCATCCCTCCCCCAGCTAAAGCCTCGAGCTCCAGTAGAGCCCACCTGGAGGGGCCACACTGCCAGCCCAGCTCTTGGTCTGTTCCATCTCCTCACTGTGTCCCTGGCTCTGAGAGTCATGCCCGGCACCCAGGTTCTCGGAGAGCGAGGAACAGTGATCACACCCTCACCTCTGAGGAGCCGGACGACGCCCTGAACTGAGGTAACTTCTGCTTCCTCATCATGGCTTTTCAGTTTGCCCCCTCTCACCCCCAGTATTGCTCTTCTCTGCTGCTCCGTGACGAGACGTGTCTCGTGGGAGACAGCCCTGCCCCGAGCTCCCAGGGGCACCTCCAACAGTGCAAGGGGAGGGGCGTGATGAAGTACAACTCCAGCCTCCTGGCCCGCAGCCGGACCTCAGGCTCTCACCCCCCTCGCTCTAGGCCCCCAGACTCACACACTGCAAGGCCTGGGTGTCAGCCTGGCTCAGACACCCGCCACGAGAGGGAGCTCGCAGGACCACTGCCAAGGAAGCTGGAGGGAGGGACCGACTCCACTGCGTACTCCCTGAGGCTCCTGCAGGCCCAGTAGCCTGTCCGGGTGACAGCTTCTGAGAGGCCAAGTCCACCTCAGCACCCATGCTGCCCTTTGGCCCTTTCCTGGCCCTCTGCCTGGTGCCTCTCCACAGCAGGGTTAGCTCAGGCGTGTGGTGCGGGTCCCACCCCCTGACACCTGCTGGAACATGTGCCCTGCAAGTCCCGCAGGTCGCCTCTAAGTGACCTGGAGGTCCCGCCCTTGTATCCACACCACCGTCCTTGCTGTGCAAGGCTGCTCTAGCCAGCGGGCCACAGGTGTCACCAAAGAAACGAGAGAGAACACCAACCCCCAGAGATAAGCCAATAAACGCAACCTGCAAAAGAGGAAAACGGGCAGCAAGAGTAGCGAAGGGAACCGGGGGGCCCCGGAGAGAGAGGCGAGAGCGAGGCAGCCGGGCCGTGCAGCAGAGCCGGAGAGCCCGTGGGGAAGGAGGGCCTTGCCGGGGGGCTACCGTTCCTGGCACAGAGAAGGGAGGCCTCTGGAGGTCGGAGAGAGACACAAAGACAGCACACACAGCGGTCAGTGGAGAGGCTGGAAAGCACCCGCTCAGGACAGGCTGCGGGCACCCAGGGCCCTGCACTTCGCCACCCAAACACCAGCCCCTTCTTCCCAGGGCGGCTGCGCGATGCCCGCGGCCTCTGGGCGGGGAGCCAGTCCTGGACCCTGCCATTTGCCTGGGCGGGTTGGCTGCATCTCAATGGCCATCGGCACCTACTCACCCCACAGTGACCCCTCCAACCCGGAGCCCTAGGACCACCGTGGCCCCCACCCCCCTACAGTCTAGACCCCCGCAGACAGGGACCAAAACCATCCTGTTCGCCGTTTATACTGAATGAAGGTAAGGGTGGGAAGAGGGCTGGGGCTGCAAAGGGTCTAGACGGGCGTTGGCCGCTCGGACTGCCCCGGGGCAGCATGTCCGAGAACCCTAGCAGCGATCGCTGAGCGAGCCTGGAATGCGCCCTGCAGCTCGCGGGGGAAAAAACCGACAGAAAGGCCCGGCCATTCCGGGCCAAGCCCGTGCGCGCGCCCAGCCCTCTCTCCCTCTGTCCGCGGCCCCAGCTCTGACCTCGGGTCTCAGACACGCTGGCCGCGGGGAGAGGCAGGGCCGCAGGGTCGGCGGCCTCGCTCGCCAGCCTCTGTCCGGCACACATGGACTTGAGCATCTGGAAGACGGCGAGCGGGGCCACGTTCAGCTTCAGGAGGTCGACCAGGATCCTGGCGGGAACAAAAGCGGGCGCAGTGAGTCCCCTCGCGAGGGACCTCCCTGCTCGGCGCAGCCGTGGGACCCCATTCCTACAATGGGAGCCCGCTAAGAGCGGGGGATCTTCCAGGCCAGAGGTACCCGGAGCCGCCGAGCGCGAAGCACCCCCGCGTCCGCTCGCTCACTTGAACACATCGGGGTCGATGGCGCCGCCCGCCGCTTGCGCCAGCTCATACAGCTCCATCTCCTCTGCACTCAGCACCTTTTTCCGCCTTAGCGCTAGCTTCTGCAGGGCCGCCTCGAGCCCCGCAGACGCCCCCGGCCCGGGCCCGGCGCTCGGCGCCGCCATCAGCGCGGCCGGGAAAGCGGGCGCACTGGCAGCGCGCGCCACGGCCCCGCCGCCCGCGCCACAGCGCCTCCTTCTGGACGCAGCCGCCCTTTCCTGCGGGGTCGCCGCCGAATCTGCAGGGGTAGGGGCGTGGGCCATGTCCGCGCCTTCCTTCGACCCCTCGGCATTTATTGAGCGCCTGTTGTTCGGCAAGGGGGTCTCAAGATAGACCGCCTAGACCCGCTCCTGGGCTATTGCGGGATTCCCTGCTAGACTTCATTGGCCATGCTCTCTGCAGTGTCTGTCATACAGAAAGTGCTGAGTAAATGCTTTTTTAATATGTGATCCTTTACTCCGCTTGTAATTGTTTTACCACTAGGCGGCGACCACTAGGCGGCGGTCCTCGGCTCTGCTTACGCGCACACGCACTCCTGGCGGGGGAAAAACAACAGCTCGGGAAACAGGCTCAGATGCCCCCAATGCACACGCGCATTTCGAGGCGAACGCCCACAAATCCTGGCGGTCTTAGCTCTGCGCACGCGCATTTGGAATTAGGAGCCGGAAGAGGTAGGGGCGTGTTTCCCGCCTTGGCAGGAAGCGTGACGCCGCGCGCTATTTGATGACGACACTTCGGCGCTGGGTTTCTGAATGGCGCCTTGTTCCCGTGAAGCGAGTGTCGGTGAGAGCGCTACAGGTGAGTGGTGGGAGCCGCTCGCAAGACGTCCCTGCGCCGCAGCGGCTTGCCAGTGCTCCGGACGAAGCCCACCGGGCGTCGCCGACCCTCCAAGAGCCCCGGCACTCGGGCTGGGGACCTAGGCATCTCTCCGCGGGTCGGGGCGGCCGAGGCCCGGGGCTGCGCCTCCATGTCCTCTATTCGGGCGGGTCGCACACTGGTCCCGGTAGGTGCTCGGTTAACTTTCGTTGCATGAGTTGGAGGAGGGAGAGCTTCGAGTTAAAGTTGTGCCTTGTGGTTCCCTCTCAATGAGTGGATTGGTAGGAATATCGGGTGTGGATCTCGCCCGAATCTAATTGTGTGGCTCGACCGCTCCGAGTCACAGTTACCTGGCCGCAACCTGAGGGTCGGATGTGGTCTTTCCAAGACAGACGTGATGATACCAGTGCTTCGCTATGGCGGGAGGGGCTACCCGTCTCAGAAAAAAACTCACTGCAGGGTGTGGAGTGTAGCCCGTGAAGAAAGTGGGTGGCCAAGGGGCGGGAGGAAGCGAACACCCAGCCGCGGAGGGGGGTGATGGGTAGCAGCGTGGCGTGGCCGACAGGGTGTGGAGAGGACCCACAGTCTCCTGGAAGGACCTGGGGCCCTTGTTCCTTCAGCTTCACCTGGACAGGGAGGTACTTTAAGCTCGTCTTCAAACAGTCCGGGATCTTGTTCTACTTTGATCATTTCAGGAGCTCTGGTGGCAATAGTGGATAAAGCGTTTGGTTACTAACCAGAAGGTCGAGGGTCAAACCCACCAGCTGCTTTGCGGGAGGAAGAGGCACTGTAGTGTTTAGTTTTGTTTTGTTTTTTTAACTTTTATTGTGGCGAGAACATACACAAGACACTCACCAATGTAACACTTTCCCATTTACAGCTCAGGGACATTGATGACATTTTTCATGTTGTGCCACTGTTATTGCTGTTCTTTTCCAAATATTCCGCCACCGTTAGCATCAACTCAGTGACCTGCAAACAAAAGCTGCTTCTTTTCCCCTCCCTCTTACCCCTGGTAGCTGTTGATAATCTTTGGTTTCTTTTTCTATGTATGTGTGTATATGTGTGTATGTGTATATATACGCATACATATATATATATGTCTTTTTTCTTTCATTGTACCTAGACATTTTCCCTCCCCCTTCCATCCAAGGTAACCAACAAAGAAAGTTTCCTTTTATGAATAAACCTTTTCTAATTTTTTTTCTTTTTCCTTCCATGTATAAACTTTTCCTTGACTTTTTACAATAATGAACTAGTGCAGTATTTGTCCCATGACTGTCTTATTTCACTCAGCATAATGTTGTCTAAGTTCTTCCATGTTTTGCAGATTCTACTTCTTTAGGGTTGCATACTATTTCATTGTGTGTACGTACCACAGTTTGGTTATCCATTCCTCAGTTGATGGGCACTTAGGTTGTTTCCATCTCTTTGCTCTTGTAAGTAGTGCTGCGATGAACATGGGAGTGCATGTATCTGTTCCTGTTCTGCTGTTACTTCTTTAGGGTATGTAATTAGTAATGAGATTGCTGCATCAAATGATATTTCTAATTCCCGCTTTGTAAGGAACCACCATACTGCTTTCCAACGGTGGTTGTATCACCACCAGCAGTGTATGAGAGTCTTGATCTCTCCACATCCTCGCCAGCATTTGTTATTTTCTGTCTTGTTGACCTTTGAGGCAGTATGCTTCCATAAAGATTTGTAGTCTTGGAAACCCAATGGGGTTCACTATGAATTGCAATCAACTCAATGGCAGTGGATTTTGAATGGGTGTGGTTTGCTGATTTCAGAGTAGTAAGTTTTGTTTTTTTTTTTAAATACATGTTATCAGAAGAGACCATACCCTGGAGAAGGACATCATCCTTGGTAAAGTGGAGGGTCAGAGAAAAAGGGGAAGCCCCTCAACAAGATGGATGACAGTGGCTGCAGGGATGGGCTCAAGCATAATAAGGAGTGTGAGGCTGGCGGCAGACTGCACACCGTTTCGTTCTGTTGTGCATAGTGTCGCCATGAATAGGAGCCAACTCCATGGCACCTAACAACAACAGCAAACTGGTTTTATTTATTTATTTATTTATTGACCAATTCGGTTTAAGACTGAGGAGTTTTGTTTTCATTCTTTCTTAAAACAACTTGATAGCTCACCTGAGAACTGACAAGTGAAAAAGCCTGGTAGGTGTTCATATTTCTGACACCTCAGTGGCCCACACTGCCTCCTTGCACCCAGCCCCTCTGCCTCCACAGATGCTGCCAGCAGCTACCTCAGCACTGGGACTTAGGCACCATGGGCAGCATTGCACCAGTAAAGCCGGTGCTAGCCCATCAAGCCTACTTGGGCCAGCTTCCCCCCTGGACGGTCCAAGTCTGGGTGTTTTCGGTTTCATCCTGGGTGAGCGAGATTTTCTGATGGCCTGTCCAAAGGCTGGCTCTACAGAGCTTGCCCTTGCCTCCTTTCTGTTCATTCCAGTAAAGCCCGGGCAGTATAAAGCAAAAGCCAAACCCATGGCCGTGGAGTCCATTCCCGCTCACAGTGCCCCTGGAGGACCAGAGTGGAACCGCACCACATGGTTCCAACGCTGTACATCTTTACAGACGCTGACTGCGGTATTTTTCTCCCACAGAAGAGCTGGTAGGTTTGAACCCCTGACCTTTAAGTTAGTAACTGGTGAATTTGAACTCCTGACCTTTTGGTTAGCTGCTGACTGCTTAACCACTGGGCCACCAGGACTTCTCAGGTAACATAGAAAGTGTTTAACCCTGTCTGTGAGAGACTTGTGAGGAGCACTGTGTATTTGAATCTTGGTTCAGCCATTTATTAGCTTGGTGAGGGTAAGTGACTTAACCCCTTAGTCTCTGTCTTTGTTAAAAGGAGCCCTGGTGGTATCGTAGTTAAGAGCTCAGCTGCTAACCAAAAGGTCAGCAGTTGGAACCCACCAGCTGTTCCACAGAAGAAAGATGCAGCAGGAAGTTTCTGTAAAGATTGACAGCCTTGCACACCCTCTGGGGCAGTTCCATTCTGTCCTCTAGGGGCGCTGTGGGTCAGAATGGACTCCACAGCAGTGGGTGTGGTTTGGGCTTTGCTTCTGTGAAGACTGACAGCCTTGCACACCCTCTGGGGCAGTTCCATTCTGTCCTCTAGGGGCGCTGTGAGTCAGAATTGACTTGATGGCACTGGGTTTGCTATTTTTGATTTTTACTGATCTCATCAGGTGGCTGTGAGGATTTACTTTTCTTGCTGAGTGGCAAGCTTAGTTTAAAACAGCACTCATTTTTCAATCTCACAATTACATAGTCAGAAGCCCAGGTGGGCTTGGCTGGGCTCTCTGCTGAGGGTCTCACAAGGCTTTTCTCTGGAGATTCTGGAGGAGAACCCGCTTTCAGGATCACTCTGAATTCAGTGCCTTGTGGTTTTAGAACCACAGTCCTCATTTCCTGGCTGGCTGTCAGCCGGGGGCTGCTCTTTGCTCCGAGATCCTCCTGCATTCCTTCTCAGTTGGCCTTCTCCACCCTTGAAGTAGCTATGGTCCATCAAGTCCCTCAGCTCTGTTGCCAGCTGGAGAAAACGCTTTGCCCCTGCCTGGGTAGTTGCTGTAGCATCAGCTGAGCCGGAACTTGAGTTCCATCTGTGGATCCCCGTCACAGCGGTGCCGGCATAGTGTTCGGACAGGAATGTCTAGGGGCAGGGTGGGGGATTGTGTGTCATCTTGTGAGGATTACATGAGGGAACATGTGAAGGGCCCTTAGAATGAGGCGTGGCACACAGCGCTAAACAGGTATTCCTGTGTGTCACCAAGGAGGCATCGCCACAGTGGGTCTGAGCTGGCCGCTATGAACGTTGTGATAATGATATTCGTATAAACTATGGAGTGGGGCAGTGCGGTGTGTGTTTGGCTCCACGTTCTCCTGGATGTCACGAGAGTACGTAACGTTGAGAGGCTGATGTCAAGATTTCTCCTTTGTCTTTCTGCAGTGGTTTCCTAAGGCGACCGTCAGACTCCCCACGGAAGCCCTCCATGGCGTTCCTGCACTTTCAGCCACCCAGTTTCCTGCTGGTAAATATCAACACGGATGCGAGTGTCAGTGTTGTGACATTTCTGTTATTGGAAGAACCCGAATGTTCTTGTCACAGATTTTTTTATTTAATTTTTTTTTTGTGATGTGGGTGAAAGTTGGCAGAGCAAGTTCATTTTCCACCCAGCAGTTCATACACATTTTGTTTCATGACATTGACTGCAGTGCACCAGCTCTCTTTCCACTTCCTTCCTGTGGTTAGCTCTTCCCTGTGTCCTTCCCTCCCATGCACTCCCACCCCCCGAGCTGTCTCCCTGTGCAAACACTGCCCTTCTGTTTTCCTATGATTGATCGCTCCAAGGAGTGTATCTACCTGGTATAAATGTTCACCCTGTCTGCTTGTCTGCTGTTTGGCTGGAAGCCACAGGAGAGAGTTCAGTTCCAGACCTAATGGGTAACTAGGAGCCATAGTCTTGGGGGTTTCACTAGGCTCTATCAGACCAGCAAACCTGGTCTTTTTTACCTTGTAATTTTGAATTTTGTTCCACATTGTTTTCCCACTCTATCTGGGATCTTCTGCACTGATATCCCTCTGAGTGGTCTCATGGTCATGTAGGCTGAGGATCTCATGGTCTACTAGTTCCTTGGACTAATTGTTTCCATGCGTCTTTGGTTTTCTTCATTCCTCTTTGCTCTGAATGAGGAGAGACCTATTGTTGCATCTGGATGTCTGCTTGCAAGCTTTTAAGACCCTAGTCACTTGCTCACCAAAGTTGAATGTAGAACAATGTTTTTGTGTAGTGTGTTATGCCAATTGAGCTTGATGTCCTCTGTGACCCTGCAATGCAGGAGGCCAAGAAGCCACCACAACTTTGCCCCTTGTCCTCTCTACTGTGCACCTGGATGTTGTTACAGTGCATACAAATACATGGTCTCACCACAGACTTGAACTCTCCATTGGCTCTTTGATTAGGGGCCTGGGGTGGAAGTGTCTCAGTGGGAAACACTAGATTGATAATCCACTAGAAATGAAAGGGAGACATTTATTGAACGAAAAAATCATTTTGAAATGGGGAGACATTTACCGACACCCCACCCGGTGTTACAGTGCTCCAAATTGCAGGGAGAACAGTATGAGTTTAAAGGAATCTGTATTTACAGGCAAGGAGCTCTGGTGGTGTAGTGGTTAAGGCGTTTGGCTGCTAACCAGAAAGTCAGTGGTTCAAACCCACCAGCTGCTCTGCAGAAGAAAGATGGGGTAGTCTGTTTCCATAGAGATTGACAGCTTTGGAAACCCATTAGGGGTTGCTGTGAGTTCGAATCAATTCCATTGCAGTGAGTTTGAGTTTGTGCTCACAGGCAGGTAGAGGTAGGGGAGGAAGCAGGACAAAAGTTATAACTAAAGATTATCAGCAGGTGTATCTGTTACATCCTGAGGGTTGTTTTACAAAGCATTCAGTCAGGGGTTAATTTTTCTGTCAGGTCTGAAGCCTGATTCTTTATCTCAGTTATAGATTTATAAAGAACTAATGGGCACAGTGGGAAACCCTAGTGAGTGAAAACATGTGGGACTCAGAATTGATAGGTACTTGTCTCAGCTCCAAAGTAACTTACAAGGTCTGACTTCCTTTAACATGACCTGTTATATTTCTTAACCTCCAGCTTCACCTTCTTAGCAGTGAGTTAACCTCTCTGGCTAGGTTAGAAAGCCTACCTTCCGCCTTCTCTGTTCTTTGAACAGTGTAACTGTGACCAAAAGATGAAAGAGTTTCTCCAGAAAAGTAGAAGTTCACAGCTGAGTGGATTTGGGTCTGAAGTCCCCCTGTTCAGTACGTCAGCACCTCAGCTTTGAAAGTTCCACGTCCACAGAAGTAACGCCAGATTCCGAGTCTCCCGTTGGCATGCTTCCTTGACTTTCCTCAAGCACTGAGCGCGGGCATTCTTCTCCAGAAGACAAGGTGACTGAAACAACTGTTCTTTGTGCTCCCTGCACGTGGGGAAGAATAAGTGAGAAGGACGTACATCAGAATTCTCGGGCCCCTGCCAAGTTATTTAAATGTGAAGTGGTTTGATGATGCGGAATACCGTCGCTCCATTTTTGACAACTCTCAGTTTTCCTAGATTCATATGCCGTACATTCCATGTTCTGATTATTAGTGGTTGTTTGTAGCTGTTTCTTCCCACTTTGAGTCATGCCACCTCAGCAAATGGAGGTCCTGAAAGCTGTACTCCATCCTCATCATTAAGGTCGGCTCTACTCTGAGGAGGCAGCTCTTCCCCAGTCGTATTTTGAGTGCCTTCTGACCCAAGGGGCTCATCTTCCAGCACTATATCGGACAGTGTTTCAGTAATATGTCAGACAGTGTTTCATTGCTGTTCATAAGGTTTTCACCTGCCAATTCTTTGGGGAGTAGACGGCCCCTTCCTTCTTCTGAGTCTGTCTTCAGCTGGAAGTTCCGCTGAAATCTGTGCACTGTGAGTGATCTGCTGGTGTTTGAAATACCAGTGGCACAGCCTCCAGCCTCAGAGCAACATGTGAGCCACCGCAGGACGACACACTGACAGATGAGTGGTGCGTTGTCAATGACGGAGCCCTCGGGTGGCACAGTTAGTGAGTTTGGCTCCCAACCGAAAGGTTCAACGTTCAGACCCACCCCCCCACCTCAGAAGAAAGGCCAGTGATCTGTGTTTAAGAAATCAGTCCCTGAAAACCCTGTGCAGCACAGTTCTACTCTGACCCACACGGGGTTGCTGTGAGTCGGAAACCAACCGGACGACAGCTGTTTGGTTGGTGATCGGTGGAAAACAACCCCTGCTGTGCTGGGGGCCCTGGGACTTCTCTTAGTGAATTATACATGACGCTGAGAAGTTGGCGTGAGGCAGGATTGCTGGTGGAGGGGGACCGTATTTTCCTGTTCTGTCACTAACTTCAGCTCCCTGAAGATGCTTTCTGTAAATGTGTGTTTTGAAGGCCCTCCTTCCTTGGTGCCTGGGCCTTTAGTGATCCTGGTTAAAGCCCTGGCATTTCTTCCTGGTTTTGGACCATCTGCCGAGAGGCTTTTAGTGCAGTCACGACACCACCTGCTCCCCTCATCCGTCGACTCTGTTGAGTTGCTCAGTGCTTGTCCCAGATGTTTCTGGCTGCTACATTGCTTTGGTGGATAGTTTCAACCCTTGGTTGGAATGTCTGGTTTTAGCCTGCTCTTTGTTTTTTCAAATGGTGCTTTGGGTGCAAATACACAAGGCAGATTCGTTTTACACACAACTGTTTGTGCACATTTGATTTCACGGCCCCGATTATCACCCCAAACCATAAAAAGCTCTCCTCTCCTCCAGTCCCTGTGATTACCTGTGCCCTTCTTATCTGTGCATTCCTGTTTGTCCAGCTTCCCCTCTGTGTGAATGCTGCCCCTCTGATGTCTATGGCTGATTAATCTAAGGGGTGCATCTCCCTAGGGTAGGTGGTGCATCTTCCTAGGGTACGTGTTCTACTGCTGGGCTGAGAGCCAGTCCACGGGAGTGAGTCCAGTTCCAGGCCTGAAGGATAACCTGGGGCCGTAGTCTTGGGGGTTCCACCAGACTCTGTCCAATCAGTAATTCTGGTTATTTTTGTGTTTCTGAATTTTGTTCCACATTTTTCCTCCCACTCTATCCAGGATCTCCAATTCTGATCCCTTTCCGAGGGCTTGTGGCTTTAGCCTGCTCTTTCAGGTAGTGAGCTCAGCAGGCATGCCATGTGTTGTATAAACAATACTCAGTTTGGAGAGTTGGTGATGCCCTCACTTGGTGGGGTCTTCTCACTGACCCTGCAGTCGGGTGACTTTGTGGGCAGTCTGCCATGTGGGAAGTTGCTGCTTCCTGTTTACAAACCATTATCCGGGGCCTATGGGGCTCCCTGCACTGTAGGGGCTCTGACGTAGCCTCAGAGCTGAGCCTCTGCTTGCAGATCAGGCAGGAGGCAGTTCTGACCCGGTGGCATGCTGTGCTCTGAGGTCACCGTGCTGCCTCAGCTGGGCGCTGGGAAGCAGGCCAGAGGCCGTGGCCTTGCTACTGGTGGCCTCCTCTGTCCAGTTGGGCTGCACGAGCTGCCGCGTGGAACCGGGGTGGCAGGCGGGTGGCATGGGTCTTGCTCCCGCCCTTTGCTTAGGTTTCCATTTGACTCGAGCCAGAATAGCAGCAAAAGCCGGGAAGAGAACAAGCTCACGATTTTCTCGTTTGTCTGTCGTCTAGGCGAGCCTTAAAGCCGACGCCGTGAATAAGCCCTTTGCCCAGCGCTGCCAGGACTTGGTTAAAGTCATTGAGGATTTCCCAGCAAAGGTACGGTTCTGTGTGCATGTCTTTCAGGGCATGTTCTACACGCCCACTAAAAGCTTTTATTATCGTCCACGATTCCCAGCTCTGAGCACGGTCTGCCGCAGAGCCTGTCCTGGCGTGGTGACTATCACGTTCATGGGCATGTTTAAACACATAGGTCGGGCGTTCTCTGATGCCCCAGAGGGGACACTTGGCAGTATCTGGAGATATTTTTGGTTGTCACAGTTTTGGAGAAGGGTGATACTGGCATCTAGTGGTTAGAGGCCAGGGATGCTGTTCCCTGAATGTTCTCCTACAGTGAACATTCGTTTCCAACAAAGAATTAAAAACAAAAAGAAACCCCAAACCCACAACAGCATCCCTAGAGGAGTGGAACTGCCCTGGAGGGTTTTCAAGTCATGGAAGCAAAGCCCAAACCACACCCACTGCTGTGGAGTCGATTCCAACCCACAGCGCCCCTAGAGGACAGAGAGGAACTGCACCAAAGGGTCTCCAAGGCATTCAGTCTTCACAGAAGCAAGGCCCAAACCACACCCACTGCTGTGGAGTCGATTCCAACCCACAGCGCCCCTAGAGGACAGAGAGGAACTGCACCAAAGGGTCTCCAAGGCATTCAGTCTGTATGGAAGCCTACTGCCTCATCTTTCTTCGAAGGAGAACTGCCAACCTTTTGGTTCGCTGCCGAGCACGTTAACTGCTGTGTCACCAGAGTGGCTTAACAAAGAATTATCCAGCCTAAGATGTCATTTGTGCTGAGGATGAGAATCTCTAGTGTAGATATTTAAACATGAATTGAAATCACATTAGAATCATCACATAGCATTGCTAAGCCCAGGAGCTGACCTGGGCAGGGAGTTAATATTAAGTGACAAGAAGTCAGTAACATCTTAGGAGCTCGCACTGAGAAAGAACATTGCCGCACTTTAACAGAGGTCCCCTCTGATCAGATCTTTCCGACATTTCAATGTGCTTTTTGCGGGAGGCTGGGGTACCAAGTTGGTTCCAGTGCTGCCCCACGTGTCGTGGAACTGCAGAGAGAGTCCAGTGCTGCCCCCTGTGGTGGTGCCACTGCACCAGGGGCTCCCATGGGTGCAGGCCTCGGTCGGTGGGTGTCTGAAGGGGATGTGACATCCCCTGAATGAAGGCAGGGCCACCAGGGACTGGAGCTGGGTGGGTGGCGCTATGCGGCACCCCTGGCGCTGGCCCCCACTGGCCTGCCCAGCCTCACCAACACCCCTTGCAGGAGCTGCGCCCCGTTTTCCCGTGGCTGCTGGAGAGTATCTTTGGGAGTCTGGACGGTGTCCTCCCGGGCTGGGACCTCCGCTGCCTGCAGGGGCGCGTGAACCCCGTAGAATACAGCATCGCCATGGAGTTTCTAGACCCTGGGTAGGTAGGTGTGTCACCTGGGAGGCTTTGGGGTATTTCCTTGTGGTGTCCCCACTTTGTAAACAACAACATGGTTAGCAGTTCACCTGCCTTTTTTGTTTTGTTTTGTGTTTACTTTTCTTGTGGTGAAAACATGAGAAACACATTTGACAACATGACCCTTCCTCATTCACAGCTCAGGGACATTGATGACATTTTTCATGTTGTGCCACCATTATTGCTATCGTTTTCTAAAATACTCTACCACCATTAGCGTAAAGTCAGTGCCCCCCAAACAAAAGTGTCCCCTTTTCTCCTCCCTCCTATCCCTGGTAACCACTGGTAATCTTTGGTTTTCATATATATGCCACTTCTCGGAAGGAAGATGGGGCAATCTACTTCCATAGTGATACTGCCTCGGAAACCCAAGGAGGGGTCGCTATGAGTCGGGTCCGACTCTACGGCATATAACAACAACAACAACAACATATATATACATATATACATATATTTGTACGTATGTATGTGTATTTTTATGTACATATGTATGTATATTTATATGCACATGTGTACGTGTGTGTGTGTGTGTGTGTATGCATGTATATATATATATATATACACGTAAAACCAAATTCACTGCCGTTGAGTTGGATCTGACTCATAGCGACCCCTCCTTGGGTTTCCAAGGTGGTATGTCTATGGAAATAGATTGCCCAGTCTTCCTTCCGAGGAGTGCCTGGTGGGTTTATATATTACCACCCCTCCAACAACCTATCTAGGAATTCAGCTCCCCCTCAATCCCTGGTAACCAACAAAGTTAGTTCCCTTCCATGTATATTGAAATACAATTTACATACAGTGCAATACGCAAAATTAAAGTGACATGGGTCGATGCTTTTTTTTTTTTTCAATATTCCCTCCTCTCCCCTCCCACCCCTGGCAACCAAAAAAGAAAGTTTCCTTCCATATGTAAACTTCTCTGTGACCCTCCACAACAACGAACTGATACTATATTTGTCCTTCTGTGATTGACTTACTTCACTCAGCATAACGTCCTCCAAGCTCATATTATGCGGTGTTTCGCAGACTCTACATTATTCTTCAGTAATGCATAGCATTCCATTGTGTTTATGTACCATAGTTTGGTCATCCACTCTTCCACATAAATATTAGTCCCTTGCCAGATATGTAATTATCAACAAATATGAACTTATTAACTGTTATTATAATATATTTTTTTGTACCAACACATGTATTAACAATGGTCTTCTCTGGGGAAGGGAGAGGATTTTTTTGTGTGTCTCTCTGCACATATGAGAGAGAAAAAGGCAGTGGTGTTTCGGTACATGTTTACCAACCAGCTCTCCTTACTTGTGGTGTTTGCTTATTCCCTTGGTGTAAATACTCCCATCAGTGCTGATTTCAAGATACAAACAAGATGTCACTGAACACAGTTGGGAAGAGATGCATGTATCAACTTGCAGGTGCTAGTTTCAGTATCCCACTAGAGAAAGGGGATTTTTACATGTACTTTGCATACTTTTGTATTATTTCATATTATACATACATTGCTTTTATAATAAATGCTATACCCATACACGTTCATGCATATATGTGCCTATATGCATGTGTGTGTGTATGTATGTATGTATAAACTTATGTACATCTGTATGAGGATGAGTCCTAACTGTAGTTTTCCTAATTTATGTATAAATCTAAGTGAAGCACCCACCTGAGCACGTAACACATTGAAGGGTCTCATGAATCTGATTGCCATGGGGTTCCATATAAAACCACCAGGCTGAAGGGATGGGGTGTTCACTTTACTACCAATTATGAGCGACCTCACTAGCCCATATCTGGTCTATAAGATACCTGGCTTCAGTGTTGAGATAGAAGCTAAATGGAAAATTTGAAAATGCTTTGAGGGTTAGAGGATAAAAAGAAATCCAACTTCAGGCAAAGAATACTGCTACTATTTATTTTGCTGAATATTTATGCTGGTCCTCTTTTGATGTGAAGGTTTATCATTTTACTTTGAGATTACTCTGTGATTTATAGTTTTCTTCCCAAGTTTAGAATAGTCCATTCTATCTTGACTCTTGACTTCCCTACCATATAGAAGTTCTGTAACGACACAGTTTTTTCCCTCTTTTTGGTCTGTAGTTGTCCTCATTTGTCAGTTGATGGCCCTGGTTCCCTGTTTACAATCTTGTAGGCTTATTTACTTTGGATACTTCCATAGTTGGGTTGGTTTCTTGGTTATATAATCATGTGTGTTAATGGTCAGTTGTTGTTGGCTATTGTTGCTGCTCTGTCCAAAGGGCTCCCTTTAGCATCTCTTGTAAGGTTGGTCTGGTTTTAACAAATTTCCTTAATTTCTGCTTATCTAGAAATGTCCTAATGTCACGATCATCTCTGAGGGACAGTTGTGCTGGGTACATAATTCATGGTTGGAGATTTTTCTCTTTCAGGGTTTTATATATACCATGCCATTGTCTTCTCGCCTGCATGGTTTCTGTTGAGAAATCCGAGCTTAGTCTTATTGGTTGCCCCTTGTAGGTAACTTTTTGTTTTTCCCGTGCTGCTCTCATGATTCATTCTTTGTCTTTGGTTTTGGTAAGTTTGATGATGATATATCTGGGTGATTTTCTTTTGGGGTCTATCCTGTTTGGGGTTTGTTGGACTTCCTGAATGGATATATTCTCATCTTTCATCATCTCAGGAAAATTCTCTTCCAACAAATCTTTGACAGTTTTCCCTGTGGTTTTATTTGTCTCTTTCTGTTCTGGAATTCCGGTGACACGTAGGTTATTCCTTTTGATGGTATCCCACATGAACCTTAGGCTTTCTTCTTTTTTGTCTTGATCTTTTTTCTGATTGATCCCTTTCCAAAGAAGTGTTCAGGTATTTGCCTTCAGTCTCCCTAATTCTGTCTTCCGTTGATTCAGTTCTGCTTCATTGTCCATTCAGTGTCTTATTTATTTCTGAAAATTTAGTATTAATCTTCTGGATTTCTGTGTGTAGATTTTGTATCATTTCTAATTTTTCATTTATCTTGTCATTTTTTTCTTGTAATTGTCTTTTGAAATTGTTTGAGGGTTCTGTGATTTTCTTGATCTGTCTCTCAGTCTTTTGAAGATACCTAAATATAATTCTTTTGAATTCCTTATCAGGGAATTCCAATGCCCTGTCTTCCTCAGGGATGTGTTTTGGGTCTGTATCCTGGTCCCTTTTTTCTCCTGCTTTGTCTTGCTTCTTTGTGTGGACTGTGCTGCTCTGTTGTCTGTGATGCATTGTGACATTTTTGTGTTTATATTTAATCGGTGATTGTATGTTAGAGTGACTTGGCCATGATTTTCATTTTCTTTGTTGTCTATGCAAGCCAGAATAGCTCCTCACTAGTCGACAGCACTTATACACTCACCACCTGTCTCCTTTCCTGTTGTCAGACTCTTGTATGTCCCTGCCGACCTTGGCAAACAGAGTCCATTCTTAGGTCCCTGGAATCCGAATGAGAATGCTATCACTTTAAAATGCAAAATGGTTGCCACTTGTAAAGATTCAAAATGGCTGTGCCTTCGGTCGCTTTAAATACCCAAACTGGCCACCGCTTTTAAACATTCAAAATGGCTGTGGACTCAGTCATTTTAAATATCCAAAATGACTGGTGCTTGTAAACATTCAAACTGGCTGCGCCCTCCGGACAGCAGAAAGTCAACAGCTCAGGTTGTCTAGCTCCTTGCTGTTTCCCTTCCTAGTCATAGGCCACCAGCACAGTCGTCCCTGCAGCCCTTGGTAACCAGGGTTAATCTTTAGGTCAATTCTTAGGTCCCACCACCACTTGGAAATATTCAGGCTATTGGTCTCGTCAGAGTAGCTGATAGTCCGCAGCTCCGACTGGCTCTGTACTCACTGTTTTCGTTCAGGTTTTTCCACTGGTTGGTGCCTAATCCACTTCTGTGTAGTTCCTTTCAAAGCCCAGGGCTCCAGGATTATCTTCTGTATCTCTGTCAATTGTTTTTTATTTTCTTTGTTGAAGAGGGTCTGTGTTGCTTGTCTGCCTATTCCTCCATCTCACCTTCCATGTATAAAACTTTCCTTGACCTTTTTTATCTTATTTTATTTTTTAATTGTGCTTTGTGTGCAAATTTACAGAGCAGGATGTGTTTTACATTCAGCGTTTCATGTACATTTGCTTTCACTCCCCGATTGCCATCCCCAACTCTAACCCACTCTCCTCATCTCCCTTCCCCCTGTGCCCTTCTTAGTTATGCTCTCCTGTCTGTCCAGCTTTCCCTCTGTGTGAATGCTGCCCCTCTGGTACCCCATGGTGATTGCTCCAAGGCATGTACCTCTGTAGATTACATGGGTGCATCACCGTGGGTTGGATGTTCTGCATGTAAGTCTTTTTTTTTTTTTTTCCAATTAATTAATTAATTTTTTATTGTGATTTGGTGAAGATTTACATAGCAAATTCACTTTCCATACAGCAGTTCACATATACTTTGTCTCATGACA